CTTCACAGTCAGACATTGCCATAGTACCTTTCGATCCACTGAGTCGAAGGCCGCCTTCAAGTCAAGAAATATGGCAATTGTTGGACGCCGAGGCTCGAACACAGTGCCCTTTATTTTCAAACGCCAAAGCGTTATCCACTAGACCTCGGGCCACGAGAGCTACCTCTTGTGCAATGGATCTTATTAGTTAAAAAGTTCAACTGAGATTTTCCAGATGACGAGTGCAAAATAGGACGGAATGCACATCCTGGATTCTACTGCTAGTCACTATTCACCATTAAATGCTTACTTCGATGGACGGTGTTTCCACTGTGTACAGGCTAGTTATAACTGTACAATAGTTGCTTGTTTTCTGATAGTAATAAAGCTTTATACCTTGCAATAACACATACGGTTTTCAGTTGATATCCTGAAGTCAACTGGTACAACCAAATGCATATGCCTACAAAATTTTATTAACCTTTGAAGAATGCGAGTTGGTGGTTCAGGGGTAAAGTGCTTGTCAATCGCGCATGTTGTCTGCGTTTGGTTCCCAACCAATACACTTCTAAATCTTGCCTAACCGGCAGTAAAAACTGGGAAGAAGAAAGGTTGGGCAACTCAACCCCTTAAAAAACACTAGTGCTACTGAAACTTTAAAACTCATAAGCTTGTAGTCCTATTTTCTACTCGGAATGCAAAGGAATCAAAGACAATCCTTTTAAGAATACAAAGATCTTTTGAATACCACCACTTTAATTAACAAAACCTTGGTTTCTAGGAGGAAATATTAAATACAGTCACTATATGATAATATCATGCTTTAAATATAGTTAATAAAATTAATTTGGAAAATAGTGGAAATACGTGTCGAAAGAATAAAGGTGAATACGAAGTTTTATATCCAGTAGGAATTCATGAAACTGCTTAAACATACAACTTAAAGCAAATGAAAATTGATAGCCAAAGTAACAGAGTGTATGTATCCCCAGAAATCTAAAGGCTTATCAATAATAACTTAGTTAGTGACTGCTGACGCACTTGCGTCTTAATTTGTCAGTTCGACCCCCACCTACTCCAAGAAGTCAAAATGCATCGACAAATTCTAACCGGTCATACAAACTTCTACTGCAGAGTTTTAGAAAATGCTATATCTTATGTCAATTGCAGTCATTATCAATAATTATACATGTAACACTATCACAGCCGCCATTATCCTACCTTTCAATCTCAATTAAGTTTACCTAAGGTTATTTAAAGCCAGGAGAATAAATTAGAGTCTCAATTGTTAGATTTTAGCCATGAAAGAACACCATTTAGAAAGATCATTAAAAAACCAGGGGTGTTGGACAGCTGTTTCTTCCTATATTGGTACTCCTCATCAGTGCATGGCCTTGCAAGGGACCAAGCTCGTTGACGATATTCAGCCACTTGGGTTGGAATTCAGTGACTCCTGAATTCTAACTTTATCAACTCGTGGCATAGCGCTGCCCTCATCAATACCTTAGATGTGCATCCACCCCAACTTGACATAGTGGGACCCCACTAATCGCTACTTCCTAATGCAGCTTCCGGAAATCCATCCAGTAGCCAACAGTGAGATGGCGATTGACATTCAGATTAAAGTATTTGTAAGGATTTCAGATTGGTTTGGCTGTTAGATTTTTATCAAGAGAAAATATCAGTTAGACAAAACAACTGTCCAGCGCTACCCGGTTTTCAATGATCTCTCTAACTGTTGGTGTCGCTCCCTGACGAATATCTAACAATTGAAATTAGTCCAAAATCCCCACAGATCCTAGAATCTGAATAATTTAGAGTCATTTAATTTCCTCTGCTTGTTGAATACACATTAATAAACTAATGGTGAGGTGGTAGATCTGAAAAACAAAATTTAGAATACGGTATTTAACGGCATTAATCAATCCAATTACAAGAGGCTTGCAGAGAATCAGTGACAATTAGTATGACAAAAAATACGACTTAAAAAACTAGTTACTAATGAGTAGTATCACATTTAAACAGAAAAAAGTATGAACACAAACACATTGATCCCAGCATTACTTTCAGATATTAGATCATCCATAAAACATCGGATAATATAAGATATGCGCTTGGAATCACCAAGGCCACTCTGCATGTAGTTCTGGGGACCTACAGTGTGTTTTTAAATGATGGAGACTATTTTACATTAAGTGAGGTCATCTTTAGAAACAGTTTTCCCCAGCCTGGACAAGTGCTACTAAAGTACTCTTAACGCTTGCTGTACCACTCACTGTTTGCCAATCCTGAGATTGAATTGAAAAAGAGAGGAGGTGATCAGCCCACGAAGTGACACGGGGAGATGAAATGTAATCTAGCTCGGTTGGCATTTGATGGGACACAGAGGTCTTACTCAGAGTATCCACACGTTATTTGTTATGGGTTAGGATTAAAATCAGTGCGGCACGCAACTAGCTCCTTTCTCTGCCTTTTAAAAATAACAGGAATTAATGAGTGATGCTTGGCGAATATGCTTACTTCTCTCAATGAGTCACCCACCCACCAACCATTTCACCTCTTTCTTTCTCATACTGTTTTCGAATTACTGTGTATGTAGGAAATCATGCTTTCCATACTGTACCAAGAATCTGTTTCAGTAATAAGACAAATGAAAAGAAGAATCTATTCTAAATGTTACCCTCCAAATTAGATCTAAGCACAGCTCGCTAAACCTTTTACAACGAGGAGAAAAGTAGTATTTCAGCAGTAGGAGATCAAAGTGACATAGGCTAGAGACCGGATTCTACTATAAGGGGATTAAATGTGTGCACTGCAATAAACCTTTCTTTAGAAGACAAATGTAGACAGACTCGAAATCATTATGATTTCGTTAGGAATGACACCAGCTATATATATATATATATATATATATATATATATATATACCTGAATTTTCTGTAACTTTGGTGTTATACTTACGGGGAGGCGTTGCTAGCCTCCAGCCTAACACCTGAAGGCTAACTACCATCCAGCAAACTGGGTGAGGTTTAGGAATGAGTCGACAGGGAGTGGAACTCCCAGACTACGTGCATAGTTTGTGAGCATTCTACGAATAAACGCCCGATGCCATTTGCCTAGAGTTAAATAACCAAAAAATTAAGACAGGACATCAGACTTTTCTGAGGTTCAGGATAAAATTTTATGTATGTTTCTATGTGCTTCAACTCTTAATAACATAAAAGTACCAGAACGAAGAGAAAAATTTGGTTTACTGTAGTAAGACAGTTGTTATAAATGTTCCCATTAAATTTTATTTTAGTAAGTAAGTGAATACCAATCAAAACACAATAAACTTCCCTCTTAAGATATTCGCTGTTTACATTCAAATCCATAATTGGTAGAATTAACGAAATAAACACAGCGTAACTGATTTCAATGTTGAATTTCGTCACGAACCAACATTAGTTAGAGAATTATCGGAAATCAGGAGTACTGGCCAGCTGGCCCGAACTAGGATCAAAACAGCTCGCCAGAATTACCTGGTTTTCAGCAATTCTCTAACTGATGAAATCAATTCAGATCCTTACGAAAAGAAACAACAATCTAAATCGACTGAGTGTTAATTAGACTATCCAAAAACGGTACTGGCTTCCTGGAATCCGTAGTAACTCTTTTTCTAGCTCAAAACAGATAAAAACCTAGCTGGTCAATAAGCAGGAGACCTAGTTCCAAAGCTTTATTGTCTCCAACTATGGAGCAATGGCTATGAACTTCACCATACTGTTGAAAGCATAAGGAGTTTGAGTACCAGTATCAGTACCAAAAAAGATGCATTTAGATATGATAGAGAAGATTTGTAGCTCAGGTGGATGATTTTGATGTGGTTTTGTTCTCTGAGCTGGATGGTTAGTTTGCGAAGCTTTCATCACCTTACTGGGTGACATCTTCAGCGCATACTTCAAATTGAAGTATGCGCTGAAGATGTCACCCAGTAAGGTGATGAAAGCTTCGCAAACTAACCATCCAGCTCAGCGAACAAAACCACATCAAAAAGATGCATTTATCTATAGGAGTTATAATCAAAATATAATCTATAGACAGGAATAACAATCGGCGTATAACTTGGTGTGTTATGTCAACGAAACATAAGACATAATTTAACCATGTTATAATCTACGAGTTGCTTCGTGAGCGCTCTACATAATAATAACGAAAGTTTGTAAAACAGAAGGTAACCTTCATAATTGTGAAATTCAGATTAGCGCACATGGGCTACCTCACATTATACATTCACAAGGATTTTCACTGTCTCCCATATATTTGTACTTATACTTAGGAAATATACAAAATTGGTAATAGATTTGCTGATTGTTTCATTATATATTGAAAATATCACACACATTCTTTTAGTGGTAATAGTACTCAACATGCTGAAAGGCCTTTACTACTTTCCGTTGTCAAACTTCTGATAGAAGGCCCCTTTAGACAGCCAAATTTTACGGTGTTATATCTCGAAAAGCAAAAATTGTTTTTTTTTAACTGATGAGACTTAAAAACAGATATTATCCAGTGTTGGCTTGCAGGGATTTGAATGATTACAGGTTTATTCACGAGATGACATCAATTAGAGAACCACCAGAAAGCCGGGAAGTGTTGACAGGAAGTGGAATTCATAGACCATTGAGTAGGGTCTCAGTAGCTAGCTAGTCAACGAGCTCGACTTGTAACCTGAAGGTGCTGGTGTTAGAAGTCCGGTGTGGATGCTGGCGAAGAGTCCCAAACCACGACGAAACAGGTATCCAGTACTCCCTGATTTTCCAATGGTTCGCCAACTGGTGATCGAACTTGTAAAACAGACATGCTGACACACCTTCAAATGTTATACACACCAAAGGATGATAATAAGCGGACAAACGTTACCATAACTACCGGATGTTTACAAAAGTATGAATTCCCATGTGATTTAAGTAAAAAAAATTCCACCTTCCCCCAAAAGCAATAAGAAAGTAGACATCTTATGCATGACAATACTTACTTACCTGTGACAAAGATAAGTATATCACCTCCTAAAGGTTTAGTTTCATGTATTCGAAAAACTGTTTCTTTTGCTGCAGTTAAATAACACGGAACAGGATCAATGGAATAAAATACAGAAACAGGATATTGACGTCCTTCAACACTTAAATGAGATACTGGAGTTAACTTTAGTGTTTGTTTATTGTCTTCACTTTCTGGTAGTTTCATTTTTGAAAAATATTCTACAAATCTGAAAGAATCGAATACACCACAAGATAAGATTAACGGGGAAAAAGATAAAAAAAGAAAACATCTATAGAGCTCTACTCTCACTGCAAGGACTAGTAATGTTTAAAAAAAAACTGAGAAAAAGGTATCTACATTCTCAATAATATAGTCATTAATGTAGTCAACTTGTACGATGGGGAAGAAGAATGACAATATCTCTGAATTTAAGTATTATTTGGATTGGGTGTGGATTCAGTTCCCCTGGTACAGACTTTTCACGTACCTAGGGGTTATGAGTCACACGATGCGTGAGGGTTATTGATATCCTTCAGTTGCCTGGGTTGAAGTAGGCGAAGCGAGACTCGAACCCAAAACCCAATGGTTGAAAATCAAATGCTTAGGCCAATAAGTCATGTACCAAAATCTTTCTTTGATGACTACAACTGAGATATATATATATACCCGCGACGAATTATCACCTGAAAAGTAACAAATCAATGTTACTTAATGTCAGGTTGTACGGTTTGTGCTAGTTGAGCGGATACCAATAAAAACCTATAGACTACCTTCTTTTCGAACCCTGCTACGGTTCAGATTTCCAAATGAACTTCAATAACCACTCATTCAACATAGAGAAGCGGTCAACGGAGTAGACAGACTAAGTGCACAAACCTGAAAGTGCTTAGAGATTTTTACTTTTATCCTTTTCGATTCTTTCAGCAAGTTTCGCCACTGTTGTTTAACGTCACTGTCAATTTCGATAAAGGTTTGAGAGGATTACGACTTAGAACACAGCGCTGTACAGATTATGAAGGAGACGATCGACAGATTGAAGTGGGACAATGATTAACACTACTCAATGGAGTTGAAAAAAATCCAGACAATTAATCATACAGAATCCCATTAGCATATGACCTGAACACTTCTCTTTGTGATCGCAAATGTTGTAAAAGGTGAAATCAACACATTACAAGATAACCTGAGGGAAGACAGAGAGATGTAGACATCGGCAACTATAAAAAGCCTGTTTGATAAAGACAACTGAGATACGAAAACTGAGATTTTCTTACTTAAAAAAAGAGGTGAATTTATCCATGCCAAGCTACTGAAATGATTTTTTTATTACAGCTTGATTCCACATAGTATTTTTGGTACAGGTATGGAATTTTTAGCATGTGATATCGGTAGCCCAAATTTCCCAAGCCGACCATATATATCAGGTGTGCGTCGGCAGGGGATCGGACCTCGGACCATGTTCGTGGTCGGCGAAAGTCCTAAACACTGTGCCACCAACGCCATATTCTCTATTGTATTCAGTCGCCTGTTTTCGTTATGAGGATTTTAATCACAAAGTTTTTATATATATACAATAATAACACTAGCTTTATTCCAAACAGTACTTTTAGTATAATGTGTGGTCTTCAGCGAGTAATACAATATTGCATCTAATTTTCTCTTTACATTATATAGTACGGAGGGAAACAATTAAGAAGGTATTTATAGCGATAATATTGTTCAGCAATAATATGAATGTAAAGTAAATCCACAACAGAAAACTCAGTGAGGCGTTCGAAGTGTATGCAGGAGTAAGACAAGGCTGGTTGGCTGCCTATTATCACCGAGAATGATATTTTTAATTGTGGTCGACTGGGTTGTGCGTCAGACTGTTGGGAGCGAGGAGTCAGGAATACGCTGGACGATCGATAAGAAGACTCTAGAAGATATGAATTTGGCAGATATTGTATGTCTAATGTCACATAAACTCGGAGACTTACAAGCGAAAACCAACAAACTGGCTGAAGAAGCAGTGAAGACAGTACTGCAAGTGAACAGAGACAAGACAGAAATAATGACGATAACCAACCAACAGCAACAACCAGCACCAATCACCATCAAAGAGAGAGATTTAACAGAGGTTGTCTCCTTCATTTATCTGCCTAGGCAGCATTGTCTCAACTACAGGCGGAACGGACAAAGATGTCAAAGCTAGTCAGAATCGGAAAGGCAAGATACGCCTTCATCAACATGAAACCAGTTTGGAAATCTTCCGCACTCAGTATAAGAAACAAGATTTGCATTTTCAACACCAATGTGAAATCTGTTCTTCTATACGGGTCAGAAACTTGAACAGTGTTGCACAAAAAGAATTTCCAACAGGTTGCAGACTTTCATCATCACCTGCTTTATCCAACTGCATACTGAAGATCAAATGGCCAGAAATAATAAGCAACAAGAAACTATGGGAACAAACCAACTGGTGAGAGAGCCGATCGCTCAACAAATATGTAGGAGAAAGTGGAGATGGATCGGGCATACATTTAGGAGGCCACCGAATGACATCGCACGCCAGGCCAGTGCTCAAGTGGAATGCAAATGGGAAGCGAAGAGAGGGTCGTCAGTGAGAGGGTGACATAGAGGATATCGTGTGAGGAAGAGATGAGAGAGTTTGGTCAAGCGTGGACCCAGCTGAAGAGGACGGCAGAAAACTGAACAGGGTGGAGATGTATTGTTGAAGCCCTATGTCCCGCTCGGAACACAAGGGAATAACAATAATAAAGTTAGAATTTAAGTGAAAATATTGACAATAATATAATAATGAAAGAACGAAATAAAAAGGGCCGTTTACTCAGTGTTCCGTGGTAAGTTAGTAGTGTCATGCCCTACACCTTTGTGATCACATAGAATGCATGCCGAATAAGGTATTGTAGAGTTTTTATACTTAGTCATCCGAGAGTAAAACTTTCTTATAATTGCTCCCAGTCTTCTGTGATTAGATGGAAGGGGAGAGTTGTGTATACAGAGGATGCTCAGAGTCCGACAGGATTATGATATCCGCTAATTTTTTTTCCAGAGTCCAAGTTTCTATCTACAACAGTGTTAACAAGTTGGTTTAGTGGTAACCTCACTCGCCCTTCGCAATACAAAAAAGTCTTTCTTAAACAGCCCAGGAAAGACCAATGGGGAGTAGTAGAGAAGAATAGATAGGATACAAGAAATGACAATTTGTAAATATACCGGTGAGTGATACCAGATCATCATAACTTCGTTACGTAGAAGGTTAGATGAAATATCTCTCAAGAAATTGAAATGATGTGGAGAGACGAGGAAACACTAGAGGAAAGGCATAATCCAACGTATTTAACATTCAACTTTAGTGCTATGTATCATCCAAAAGTGAAGGAAACAGACTATTTCATGTAAATCAGGCTTGTAGCTCAAAGTGAAATTAACAATTTGACATTTAGAGGGATTTAGCTTAAAACCATTTGATAAGGATCATTGACGAATTTCTGACCATAAAAAAACCTCCTCATTATGGAACAATGCATATAAATACTTAGAAAGCATAAACTATAAATCAAATGAATAAAAACATACTTTTCAGCCTCCATAGTAGCCGAAGAAATGATCACTCTTAAATCATATGGTCGTTTTCGTAACACTTTTTTAATAAGTCCCAAAAGAATATCAGTTTGTAGAGATCTTTCATGAACTTCGTCTAACATTATTACACGGAAACGAGTTAATAGTGGATCACGTAATAATTCTTGTATCATCATACCTTCAGTAAGGTATGTGATGACAGTTGAACCTGGTGTCCAACATTCCTAATTTGAATAGACATCGAAAAAGGTGATAGAAGTTAAAATTAATTCAAAAAAAGGAAAGAGGGATGCTTATTTTAACACTGTTCAGCCCTTTTCTTTATGTGCAGATATTATATATATATATATATATATTGGTATTAAATACTTATTATTGGACACTAAACCAACATACTCGAATCCAAGTAAAACGATTTATTAGACTACCCTTAAAGCTAATAATATCTGTGACATACTTTCCAAATGCAAAAGATATTATGTGAGAATTTTGATGTAGCACCACTTATATGTTGCTTAAATTAATTAAATCTGTTCCATACAATATTGTGTCGCTTAGAGTAATAAGATAAACACACATTGTAAAATATATTTTCCGTGCTATCTAGAATTGTTTTTATTTATTTTAATCCTTCGCGTTTCGAGTGGAACAAGCTTGACTTCAAGCTTGAGTTTTGAAGTTTTAGTAGTAGTTGTGTTTGTGTTGTGTCTCATCGAACCCTTCCTCCTTACCGAGTCTACTACTGGCTACGTGAGGTTTAGGAGTGTGCCATTCACGGATCGAATCCCGGACCACGTGCGTGGTTAGTAAGTACTATGCTAGTGAACCACCGACGCATACCACCTAGAATAGCAAATTTAATCAAAAATTAAAATTAGCTAATCTAAGTATGAATAACATAAGCGGTACCAAAACTTTTCAATTTCTTTTTTTTCCACCAGAACTGAAATGATAGGTCACTATTTGTATACTGACAGTCATGGAAAGACAATAGATGGTTATTAGTCACAAAACTACCACTGGTTGGCTACAGGCACATCCGGTTGATGAGTACCGCATAAGACGAAGTATGTATTTTGAATTCCACAGGCTAGCTATCATCTGTTGAATAACACTAAGTGGTATTATACTCAAATTACTGAAATAAATGACACCGTACTCTTAGTTATCACCAAATAGCACTAATCATAAATGAAATAGTCCTATTGGTACATATGAGTGAAACACATCCGGTACTGCATAACCACCCATTTCAGATGCTTTTTTTCATAAAGTACACAGTGAACTACAGATAATGAGACACAAATACAAGAAAAATGAAGTTGAATTACCTCAAAACGTATTATATATCCAACTTGTTTACCGATCTGCCAATTCTTTTCTTCAGCCACACGAGTAGCTAAAGTCAGAGCAGCTACACGTCGAGGCTGTGTCACTGCCATTGTAACTCCAGATGGATGAAGATTACTGGATTTCAGATTCAACCAACCAGCTTCATAAACATATTGAGGTAGTTGAGTCGATTTTCCACTGCCAGTTTCTCCAGTGACAATTAAAACTCTGAAGTCAGATTAATTAAAATACAATTTGGATTACATTCTTCATAGTTCAAGAAATAGATGAACACTTTACTAATTTATGTTAAGAGATTGGTGATTGCTTATATCCTCCGACCTTTAAAAGTAACAAAACTATGTGGAAAAAAGTCACTAATATCTTGTTTGAACAGAATTAAAATAAAATACACAATTCGAAGAAACCATTCTCCAGTCAAGTAAAACTCTACCATTTTTCGGAAGCTAAAGCGCTCAAGACAAAATATGTAATATGGTTAGCGCCATCAATATGGGATCCAGATTCTAACGACAATAGCGGCATGACATTTACTACTAACAGCACTAGTCTAAATGCTGCAGAAAGGCATCCCACGGATAAAATATTTATCAGTCTAACATGATTTGTGGTGGTAACCTATTCCCATTCTGCTCTTGCATACAGGTAATCAGACAGGATAGTTACATGTCGCATTCAGTATTAACTGTTACAAATATTTTCTATCTTATTATCCTAATAGAACAAAAATGTATTTAGTCACTTCACTGACTCGGCTAAAATGATCTATGTAACATTTTACGAGCTTAATATATTATCATTATTATCGTTTCCTTAGATTCGAGTGAAACACAGGGCTTCAACAGCACTTTTCCACTTTATTCTGTTTTCTGCGGTCCTCTTTAGCTGGCCTCACTATTGCCCATAATCTTTGATCGTCTCCTCGCACGATCTCTTTTATGTCAATCTCGGACTCTCCACTCGTCGTTTTCCATTCGGGTTCCACTGGAGGGCGTAGAGCGCGATGAATTGCATTTTTAATTGACACCATTTTCTAAGATGTATTTAAAACACTTGTTTGACATTGTCTTGACTAAAACCTATTGTTTTTGATACTTTGCCCTAGAAATGACTTTCTAAAAACGATATCACATACTGCCTTAAAAGTGCAATTTAGAAAAGGCATATAGTTCCTCATCATCAAGATGAAGAGTTTAGAACAAATATTTAATTTAACCTCATTTTTACAAATAGCATGAAGTTTCCAACCTTGAAAAACTAGTACTAAATAAAGCAATATACAGAGAACCTTGGACGTAGAGGCACTGGTTGGAAAAGTTACTCTTTAAAACATAAAAAGATTACATGTGTATATATAAAACAAGGGTTACGAAATTTTAGAAACTGAATGGTTATGACAACCTTGAATTTTCAAGCAGGTATAGAAATTGACTTCTTTTGGTGAAAACAGGAAGCTGTTGACGTTGCTGCTCAACCGAATTAAAAGAATCAGATGCAGAGAATTGCAGAAGTAAGTTGCTACAGCCTCCATCTTCATTGAATTCAGGAACTTCTTCTGAAAGATCAAAAGTTAGTTTCTCTTCATTATCCGGGTTAATAAAGCGCGAATTCATAACTGGAATTATTTATTTTGAATATCACTGATCAGTTGGAATCCGTTACAACTAAACACATACAAATATAATAGCCAAATACATTGATATACATGATACGAACCATATTAAATATATAAAACTTTAATAGAATAAAACTAACTAACAAAACGTCGAGAGGGTAATACGAGGAAAAATAAGACGAGTTTGTGAAATGGTAGCGACATGTGCTGCGCCTGCTGAGCCACCACCTAACTCGATGAGTAACGTACAAAGAAGTAGAATTAAGCTAGACAGAATTTAAAGACAGTCATACCAAACCACAGAACAAGTTAATGAAGCCATTGACTATTAATATGAACTAAGTATAGAGGTTTAGATTGCCTTGCTGGAACCTGGGGATTCCAAGAATCAATGTTTTGAGACTGTTGATGACATGCCTTAAAATCGTTATAGTAGCACAGGTGCATTCACTTACTATCACGCAGATTCTGAGTACTTTTATTGATCGCTCTCTCTCTCTCTGTTTTACATTTTTATCATTTGTAGATTCATTACATTTCTTTCCTCTAGTCTTATGTGTGCTTTCTCGAACCACAGTAACTCCAAGTTTTGCGTCATTAAGTTAATCAGTCAACACCAACAAGAGAAATTTGTTTTTCGCTCTTATTTCTTCATGTTCTACTGATCTTAATTATCATTATATGGATTAATATTGACTTTTCAGTTTCTGCAATAATCATAACCTGGAAAAATAGATCAGAAAAGTATACTGACTGGGTATCTCTTTCAATCTATATTACAGTTTGGACACCTACACGTGGACTGTTAATTAGTAATATAAACAAGTGGTGACCTCATTTCCATCCATCCACTATTCCATAATATTGAAAAATAATAAACATAGTGGGTGAGGGAGATATTTTGCTTATTTCAGGTAACTACTGACATCAATGCTCAATAAGACGACAACTTAGGTGGGGTATGACTGCTTGATTGAAAACATATCTCGACTTACAAACAAAATGTTCCAGCTATGAAATCAAATGAAAATAATTAAACCTCTCAATGTGAGTTGGACAATTCTTTAGAAAATAGGTGAAAATGTATGCCACAACCGCCAAAAGGTCATTTGTGAGGAGTAATTTTTTCGCTGATAATATATTCAGCTATATAGGATGAAACGTATCGCAGTGAAGCACCGACAAAAGGAAAAATGACCTGTAATTAAGGAAATAGTTGATTTTCATACATGCATCCTATCAACATAGGGTCAAACACTACCGCTCAGTGATCCGAGTCTCAGAATATCGCGTTCGGAAACCAAGCGGTGATGCTCTAATATTCCAAATAACAGGTTTAAACCCACCAACGATCACAGACAAGTTAGAGACAACATGGGAGAAAATATGGAATTTTGTGGCGTATCTGCTCAGCAATCGGGGCATTCTCGTATACTAAGTCTGTCTGTTTTCGACATAGAACTTTGCACAAATGTGCGGAAGTTCAAGTTGCCACACTCCGTGTAGCACGCGAAGCAAGAGAAGAGAGTACAAGAAAAGCATAATAGAAACAGTGAGTAGAGGTGTGAGACAAAGGAGTAATAAGGAAAAACAAAACTAAGTGATACTAAGTGATAAACCACGCTTATTACGTTAGAGCTTGTGACGTGCTGCCGTTATTCTAACATAAGCGAATGGAGGGGGAATCGAAAAGACGACCTACTGACTGGGAACTTATGCCCAAACCAAAACACCACTGATATAGGTTTCCCTATGTTGCGTGTCATTAAAAAAAATATCTCACCCTGTGTAAAAAGATAAAGAGGGTGAAAATGAGTCTTCTGTAGAACTTCTCTAATGGATTCTATTTACCTTAACCTTCGTACATGCAAGGGCAGATAAACCGGGGCACACACGTCATGTTTGAAAAAAACCATTCTAAGAAGTGAAAATAAGGTGTGATTTCGAATTGAAATACTCGGCGATCATTATTTATGTGAGCTACTATCATTAACTACACGCTGAATCTTAAATGTGTGATACCAACACCATAGAACCAACAACCTCAACAGCAAGTGTTGTATTATAATACCTTCAGAAACTAGACATTCAGCGCACGTGGCACTTTCATTCACCTTGAAAGTGCACCAGCTAAACAGATACAACTGTCCCTTTTCAAAATAAAAATAGGCATCGTGCTCAACTGCTTAATGAAACTAAATGCAGGGAAATCAATGGGTCCTGACAATCTTTATCCAAGGCTTCTCAAGGAGCTATCAGCCCACATAGCCGGCCCCTTGACCACGATCTTCAAGCCATCTCTCCTATATAGAGTGTTGCCACGTGATTGGAAAGACGCCATGGTAACCCCCATCCACAAAGGAGGATCAAGACAAAACCCTTCAAATTACAGGCCTATCAGTCTCACCAGCACTTTAATCAAGACACTGGAAAGAATTATCAAGAAAAGCATCATGGCTTATCTGGAAAATAGCAGCTTGTTATCTGGAGCACAGCATGGCTTCCGGCTCACCGGCTCCCCTATGGTCCTATACGCAGATGACTTAAAAATTTGGAGAGAGCTGAAGGGCAACAGTGATACGTTCACGTTGCAAGAGGACCTCGACAAATTCTCGGAGTGGTCTGTTGAATGGATGCTCCCGATCAATGTGGCAAAATGTGCAACCATGCGCATTGGACAATCAAGCACAAGACCCTACGAATTAGAGGGAATAACACTTCCATCAGTTCAGACTCACTTGGACTTAGGTGTCATAGTTAGCCACGACTTAAAAACTACAGCACACTGTCGCGCGGTGGCTGCACGTAGTTTCAGGTCCTTATGGGCGATTCGCAGAGCCTTTACAAGAATTACCAGAGATATGTTCACCTCCTTATATACATCTCTGGTTAGGTAAAGACTGGAAAACTGCATCCAGGCCGCTAGTCCTTGTCTAAAAGGGGATTCACACATTCTAGAAAGTGTTCAAAGGAAGGCAACACGTATGGTTCACGGCATAGCTAACTTATCATACGAGGAAAGACTAGACAATTTAAATCTCTTCTCACTTTCATACCGTAGGCAGAGAGGAGATTTAATCACAATGTTTAAAATTTTAAATAATGACTACGGACCTGACCTATTCTCTCTTTTCCTTCCCACCAGGTCGGAACACCTTAGAGGACATAGCAGGAAAGTTCAAAAGCCAAGGAGAAATCATATTGCTGTTGAGTACTGGTTCTCACATCGAGTCAGAAACTCTTGGAACCGACTCCCAGAAGAAGTGGTGTCTGCAACCTCAACTGATTCGTTCAAGGGTTTGGACAACCACAGAAATCTACTAGAAAAGGATTAACATAGGCTGCAAGCCTTCTATCCTCAACCGATAAATCTGAAATATGAATGTAATAACACATTTTGATACAATATGTGCAAAAGGAATCATACAAAATATGCTAACAAGTCATCGTTATAAAAGATATATTTCCAAGTCCTGCTAAGAATATTTTTGATGAAACCATGTAAAGAGACGTAAACGTTTCTCCAAACGCCTACACTTCTGGATTATTATTAATCAAGAAATTAACAGAAATGTACAACCGCTTCGACGGATGGAAGGTCAAACTAAATGGCATGCAAAGATACTTTGCTGAAAGACACACGAATAAGCACTACCGAAGAGAAAACTCAAGGTAAAATGGTTCGGACTACATGGAACTCGTAATATTATGAAGTTGAATTTCATACAATTGCCAGAATACTGAGTCTCTAAAAAGCATTTCAAAAGCAAATAAAAAATCCTTGATGTTAACTAACCGAACTACACCATGCCAAAATCACAAGGAATACTCGCGCTCCGACCGTGTAATGCTATTTTAACGGCGTCATGACCTTGTGATTTGTGCACACCGCGTTTATATTTAGATTCAGATTTATTGCTTGAAGATGAAAGGCTTGGAGCCTATGTCAATCCTTTTCTAGTAAATTTCTGTGCTTGTTCAAACCCTTCTTGAATGCTTCAGTTGAAGTCGTCCAAATCAGTCCTGTGAACAAGCAACCAATTGATAAGTCCTCTTTTGCGTTACAACTAATAATAATATTGTATATTTTCATAAAAAAATATAAATTTATCATCTAATATCCAGCTCTGATATCTGGTATGATTCACTGGTATAAGGTAAAGGGGCCCAGAAGTGTACTTTTATTCGGGTGCGATCACACTTTATTCTTCCAATATAATATCGTTGTGGCTAACTTATGTAAACTTCATGTGTTCCTCGCTGGCTTTTGTTACAGAAGACCTACCTCCTTGAACCCTTCTCACCACTGCGTGCATCAAACATAAATCTGTCAGTTTATTCTGCAGGCGATTGATGGATTGTTGTCAGATCATGTCTGTGTTGGGGACTCGCGGTCATCTATTAGCCCGGAAAATCCTTTAGATGAAGGGAATACATATCGCAAAAATATCTGAAAGCTAAAAAAATAAAATAAAAACCTCACAGTGTTTGTCTGTATCTCCGTTACCCCAATCGATATGCGCACAGCATTCAGTATTCTGTAGTCATCCAACGCTATCTTGAAGGCGTTACCATTGTCGACAGTGGAGTACATTGATGACAATTTTAGGGTAAAAAAGTGGAATACTTCCAATGAAATCCATTTCACACTTTAAAAAGGACTGAAAAATTACATTTGAACATTACTGCCCTGTAGAGGTAATTCTCGTTTTATCATGAAAAATGGCAAATGTAGTGTAAACTATCCCTGATTATTCCTCTCAAAGGCCACTTACTTAACTCCTCGAAAAATGGATCCTTATCCCAAGCGTCTTGAATTTCCTGCTATCCATTAATTCTTACCGTATGGTAAATAGTAGAAAACATAAAAATAGTATCGACTATTGACTTCGACCATACTAAGGCCTGTGACAAAGTCCGTCACCCGTCGCTACTCCAAAAACTGGGGTCATTCGAATTATTCGTAAGTTACATACGCAGTTAAACTAAAATTTATCC